ACTGATTTAAACTTGCAGCCACTCCACCCCACATGCAGTTTCAAACCTGCATCCAATCCGGTTACCAGTCCTTCACAGAGAGCTCCTTGGGAGCTCCAGTCCAGTTTTAAACAGCCAGCAATGAATGAGTTTTGTGGGTTCTCTGCTTTGCTGCTCTTATCTTCTTCTCTTGGCCCCCATTCCTAGGGCCAAGCACCTCTTTATATTGCAGTGTCAATAACCAAGTTCTGATCTCTCCTCTGCATCTTAATTTCTGCTCTGAGTCCCTGTCCAGGGAGGCAGCAGAGCAAAGAAGTTTCCGAAACAGGTTTTGAGATCAGACAGAACTGACTTAAAATTCAAATTATGTGACCCTCCTCTCTGTTGACCTTGGGAAAATTACTTAATCTCTCTAAACCTCAGTTTCTTTATCTGTAAAATTTGTACCTATGCCATAAGATCATTATAAGGTTTAAGTGAAATAATGAATGTAAACCCCAGTATCTGATGCTTTATAGTGCTTGATAAAAGTTTACAGCACATGCCCTCTTGCTCCTCAGCTACAGGCACCCTGCCTGCCTCTCCTTCCTCCACTAATCCTGGCCATTGAACATGTACAGTGTGGCCCTACTCTCTGTTGCTAAACCATCCTTACCACACACCTGTACTCAGCTTGTCTTCTGGAACCACCCCACTACCCAACCAAGACAGACTCATTTCTGAACCATGATCTGACTCTACTTCCCTGCAAATGTGACACCTTAGACACAGAGGAAGCACACAGAAATCCTTTCAAAGTTTGGGTACAGAGGCCATACTGCCTGGATTCAAAGCCCTGCTCTTTCACTTGTTAGTTAATGTGACTTTAGCCAAATTACTTAACCCCTCTGTGCCTCAATCTCCCCACCTGCAAAATGGAGATAATACCAATCCCACCTCATAAGACAGTTGTGAGGATCAAGTATATTAATAAAGCTCTGAAAGCTGTGTCTTGCACAAAGCAAGCAGGCACTTTTTTTTCTGTAACTTTGGCTCCCCATGAGAGTATTTAGGCCAGAGGTACTTGGTTAGCTACCTATGTTATCCCATATTATCAGGGAGGCCAAACATCTTTGCTACTCTCTGACACTGGGGAGGATTAGGTAGGCTCTCTAGAGCAAAGCCTTGCCATCCCTAGTGTTGTCCACAGACCAGCATCAGCATCACATGAGAGCTCATTAGAAATGCAGACTCTCAGGCCCCACCCAGCCATAATGAAATAGAATCTGCATATTAACACATTCTGTACACCCAAGTCACCGGGGGCTCTTGTTATAACACAGATTGCCGGGGGGCGGGGGGAGCTGAAACTGCTGTCCTAGGACCACACTTGGAGCAGTAGGTGCCACAATGAAAAGAGAGCAGTGCATTCCAAAGAGGAAGTGCGCCAAGATGTGAGAAAACTGTCACCAAGGCATGTGTAAGTGGACAAGGAAGGGGATGGAGGGATGGACGTGACTGGTAACTATGGAAGAGGGTAAGGCTCCAAGATAAATGGTAGAAGGAGCTCCCTGGTAAATTCTTAAGAGGGTAAGGACCACATCTTACTCATCTGTGTTTTTCAACAGAGAATGAGTGAAATAGAGGAGGTAGTTCACTGTAATCATCTGATAGTACCTCTGTGTAAAAGTTATCCTCATGTTCAATAAAATTGGAATAACATTTGTTACTTTTACAAAAACACAAGTGTTTTATAGTTATATTAGTGGCCCCTCCCCATCCTATTATAATATAGTATTTGATTCTATACTTCTTATATGAAGATGACACACACTATCATTGCTAGAAGGGAATCATTTCTGAATTGTTTCTCTTAGAAATGATTCTGGCTTTGAGAGACCCAGGAGGTGGGGTGGGGGTGGGATGAGGACAGGAAGAGGGGCTGGCAGAACATCCTCCACAAAACAATGGGCTACATTCTTGAAGAGAATTTGCCGATACCTTGCTGCCTTTTTCATTTCAAATATCCAGCATGTTAAAAACTAAGTTAAGGCAATAGAAAATTAAGTCTCCCATTGTTATAACCCTTGACTTTTTCTTAGTGACATGTGTAACTAATCAGCCCCTGGAGGTTAACAGCCAGGGAATAATTAGAGGGAAGGAGATAAGGAAAACCAATGAGAGTAGAGACTAGAAAAACCACACCAACTGATCCAAGAGCCCCTTAAAGTCCCTCCTGGGAAGCACAGACTTCATTTTCTAAGACATCAGAAATGACTAGAGCCCTTGCCTTTTATCTAAGGAATCTGTCCCTCTCATCTAACAGTGCCCTTGTTCCACCTCCCACCTCCACATACACCTATCACTCACCTAAGGGGAGAAATCCGCACAAATGTGAGAAGACAGCCATCTTCCCAGTCCAGTCCCCACAACTACTATGAAATATAGTCTATATTCCTCTGCTCTGCCTATATTTGAAAATGTTTTGGGTTGGGTAGGAAGTCCTTGTCCTCAACTACTGGAGTAACCCAATCAGGTTCTGCCCTTAAGTGAGCTGTTTGAGAGATACACAGCAGGAAAGCCACCAGGGATCCATCCTTTCTGCTTCAACTGCTGACAGAGCTCTCATGGATAAATGACAAACAATGACAAAGTTTTAAAATTTTATATCTAAACGCTCATTTTTAAAACAAAATCAAAACAAAGAGAACACTTATTTCCCCAAACCCCAAATCTCATCTCTAAACTTTGATGAACTTTCAACCAAATAACCTTAAAGCCCCCAGTCCAACACCAGGAGGACAATACTAGACCTGTCACTGTCTTTCTAAACAAACTCAAGGGCCTAGGAGGGCTCAGACAAAGCATTCCTCTAAACCAAAGACCCTTCAGACTGACGATGTGGTTTACCCAAACACAGAGCCAGATTTCCCAAAGTAATGATATGGCTGAGTGTTTAAATGCACAGGAGGGCAAGTGCTAGAGGTGGTAAGTGTCTAAATGAGAAGCCTTCAGGAACTTCAGAAATGTCAGCTCAGACATCATTACAGTCTTCAGTTTATAAAATGAAACTGCCATCACAACACTGAAAATGACCTGGAGCTTGTGTTGAAATTTAGGTGAACAAATAGCTATCCTTCCTCTGTATTCCTAATCTCAAAGCTCTGCAGAGTAAAGATGTGTCCTCTACAGCAACCAGCACTAAATTGTATGAATACAGAGACATACCCCATAAGGAGACAAAAATACTTTTCTACCACAAGTAAACAAAATAGAAGAGATTCCCTTTGTATGTGAGGAATACATTCCAGCAATCCCTGCTAATAAGGACACCCTGAGAAAAGACATTTCTGTATATTTTGCGATGGTAAAAATTGTAATTAGAAACCACAGAACAAAGCACTCAAGAGAAATTGGAGCAACAGTCCTATACCTTTACCATACACTAGAATCATCTGTGAAGCTTTTTTTTTTTTTTTTGAGGAAGATTAGCCCTGAGCTAACATCTGCTGCCAATCCTCCTCTTTTTGCTGAGGAAGACTGGCCCTGAGCTAACATCTGTGCCCGTCTTCCTCTACTTTATATGTGGGACACCTGCCACAGCATGGCTTGCCAAGCAATGCCATGTCCGCACCCGGGATCCGAATCGGCAAACCCCAGGCCGCCAAAGCGGAACATGCTCACTTAACTGCTGTGCCACCAGGCAGGTCCCTGTGAGCTTTTTAAGCATCCCAGTGGCTAGGGCACACACCAGACCAGTAACATCAGAATCTCTGGAACTGGGCCTCTGGCATCATTATTTTTTTAAGCTCCTCAGGTGGACTGCACTGTAAAACCAAGGTTGGGAACCACTGAATTAGAGATTATTCTAAAGATACCTTCTCCATCAGAGTTCATCTGAGCATGACTGTGGACCCTTGATATGCTGGGACCAGGAGTCTTTGTCTAAAACTAAACCGAGCTATGATGGTATACTGTACAAGCCACTCACCCCCAAACCTGGGAGAGGAGCTCAGGGCCATGCACACCCAGAGGCCCTCCTTAAAATGTAGCATAAAAGAGATCACCCACCCAGAGGGCATTCCCAGATAAGCAGGGTAAAGGAGGCCCCTCGGTCTCTATTTTCAGGGGCACCTCCCTGGCAGCAATGTAGGAGGCTCTGGAGACAGTCTGTGACATGAACACACAGGCCCAGCTGAGCCAGCATCACTCAGGCAAAGTACTATTTTCAGAATGCCACAAAGACCCTGGTGACCACTACTTGACAGAGAATACACAGCATCTTAGCAAAATATACACAAGGATTAAAGAAATGGGCACATTTCCTAGGTGTTGCTCCTCTGTTGATAAAACTAGAAAACTCACTTTATTTAAATTTTTTAAAAAGGCCTCAATTTGTACCAATGATACCCTCCAAGTTTCCCCCAATTTAAATCTGGCTTTAAATAGTTTTGCTTGCTTTTATTCGATAGCATACTTCTGGCAGGGGTAGGAAGAGCAGAGATGTATAAAACACGCCACCACAATTAATTCATATTTATTCAAAACATTTAAAGGCAACATTTTACCCAAGAAATTTAAATAAAGAGAAAATCAAACATATGGCATACATTTTTAAAGATAATATTTTAAATAACAGAATATTTTAAAACATAGCAGAAAGGCAGGAAAAAAAACATATAAAGATATTCAAGGATTAATATCTTTCTACTATAGGGAATTTTTTTAAAGAGTACTTTTATCAAAAAAAAAGAAAAGAAAAGAAAAGAAAAACCAACCCCTAAATCTAAAAGTACGTAACAATGTGAATTCTGAAGGCAGGCTGCCTAGGTTTAAACCCAGGCTCAGACACTGTATTAGGCATAGTGCCCTTAGTCGTGTCTCTGAGACTCTCCGTGCCTCATCTTACCTGTATACCAAAGGCTCTGGAGTCGGAGTGCAGGGTTCAAATTCAGACCTGCATATGTTAGTTATGTGAGCTCATTTAACCTGTCTGTGCCTCTCTTCCTCCTCTATAATATTGAAATAATAATGGCACCTACCTCCTATCCAGAAAAAGTGGAACCCTGGTGCACTGCTGATGGGAATGCAAAATGGTGCAGCCACTGTAGAAAACAGTATGGCTAGTCCTAAAAACATTAAACAGAGAATTACCATATGATCCAGCAATTCTGCTTCTGGGTATATACCCAAAAAAATTGAAAGCAAGGTCTCAAACACATTTGTACACCCATGTTCATAGCAACATATTCACAACAGCCAAAAGGTGGAGGCAACTCAAGTGTCCATTGACAGATAAATGGATAAAATGTGGTAGAATGGTATTCCCTCGTCTGTGGTTTCCCTTTCCGCAGTTTCAGCTACCCATGGTCAACTACAGTCCAAAAATATTAAAAGGAAAATTCCAGAAATAAATAATTCATAAGTATGAAATTGTGCGCCGTTCTGCGTAGTGTGATAAAATTTGTGCCATGCAGTTCCATACCGCCCAAGGTATGAATCATCCCTTTGTTGGACCCCCCAACCATTGTCTGATCCTGACATCCAACTACCGACATCATCATGGCTATTGATCCTCCTTCCGACTTATGTCAGAAAGTCAATAGTAGCCTAATGCTATGTCACAATGCCTACGTCATTCACCTCACTTCATCTATCATCACACATCATCACAAGAACGGTGAGTGCAGTACGATAAGGTATTGAGAGAGAGAGACCAAATTCACATAACTTTTATGATAGTATACTGTTATAATTGTTCTCTTTTATTATTAGTTATCGTTGTTAATCTTTTACTGTGCCTAATTTATAAATTAAATTTTATCATAGGTATGTACATATAGGAAACATAGCATATATAGGGGTAGGCCCTATCTGCAGTTTCAGCCAATCACTGGGGTCTTAGAACACATCCTCCTCGGATAAGGGGGGACTACAGTATATCCCCACACTGGAATATTATTCAACCTTAAAAAGGAAGGAAATTTTGATAGATGCCACAACATGGATGAACTTTGAGGACATTATGCAAGTGAAATAAGCCAGTCACAAAAGGAAAAATACAATGTCATTTCACCTAAATGAGGTATCTAGAGTAAGACAGAAAGTACAACAGTGGTTGTCACGGGCTGGGAGAGGGAGGAATGAAGAGGTATTGTTTAATGGGGACAGAGTTTCAGATGCGGAAGATGAACAAGTTCTGAGATGGATGGCGATGATAGTTTACACAACCATGTGAATGTACTTAATGCCACTGAATTGTACGCTTAAAAATGGTTGATAGTAATTTTTATGTCTTGTACATTTTAACACATTAAAAAAAATATAAATAAATAAGAAAGAATAGTCTCTCCCGCCTAGACTTGTTGTAAGGATTAAATATACGTGAACTGTTTAGAGAGTGCCCAGCACAGAATAAACTCTCCATAAATATTAACCGCTATCTTCCTGTCCTGCCTTTGTAGCTCCCTCCAGTGCGCACGACCGTGTTGTTCAGAAGGAGAAGCTCACCGACTAGATTCTGATCCCCCTTGTGGAGCTATACACCTCCCACAATGAGACAGTCCCAGCTCTGGGCTTCCTTCCAGCGTAAATGCTCCTTCATTGGGACAAAATTTCCACTGCAAACGGATGAAGATGAAGAAACTACCTAATTTCTGCAGTCTTCACACACAAAGCTGAGATGACCATATTTTTTTAAAACTGATTTTATTGTCTTTATTTCCTAAATTGTTAATAATTTTGCCTCAAAAATAGCTTCAGAGGCTAATGCTATCATACACATCTATCAGTGGGGAAGAGAAAAGAAAGTCCCCCTGCTATTCATAAATATTTTCACTTTTTATCACAATCAAGACTATTTTACTTCTTTGCTTGATCATTTAAAAAACATTTTATTATGAAAACTTGCAAGCACACACAAAGTAGAATTCAACTAGCGCCCATATACCCAGCTTAATAACCAACTTTAATCTTTTTTGACTCTACCTAAATTCAAAAAATTCTCCCCTCAAAAAATTAGAATAAAAACACCAAATAGGTACATTGAAGCAATGCTCATCTCTAACAATCATCATCATCACCATTTTTCTTTACTTTTAGAAATTCTTTTTTGGTATCTTCTCACCTTCTTTCATTTTTTCCTTTGAAACTACAAATAATTTCAATATCTACCTTGCCAAGTTTATTGTGAGGATGTAATATACATGAAAGCGCATAGCTTGGTGTCTGACATGTATTAGGTTCCTGAGAAATATTGGTTCCCCACAGACCACTGCCATACCTTACACTCCAAGAGAAGAGACACCTCCTACATATCCTTCTCCATTCTTGGTCCCTTACCCTTGCCTTCCCTTCCTAAACACTAGTCCTTGCTTCCTTCCTGCCCCCATGCCTTCTGCTTCTAAGCCAGGGATCCTAAACACAAATGCCTAATCACAAATCCAAACACCTAGAAGATCCCAAATATAAACACAAATATAGAAAGCAGATAGATAAACTGAACTGACACATTTAACATTTAGGGTGCCAGTCCCTGAATTAAAAATAAAAAACAGACTCAATCTAGTGCTTATATATTATTTAACAGAAAAACCAGGCTAGACACTATGGTGTAAAATATCACAAACAGGAATTCCTATGCAGGTCATTCCGGTGTGCGTGTGTGTATGTGTGTTTATATTTAAACATTAAATTCTTTTTTGATGATCCAAGATGTTTATATGCTGATGAAATTCATTTCCTTGCAGTACTTTTCGCCAGTGGCAAACCTGCCACCTCTAATTTGCTTTAAAAGGAATTCTAATCACCCAATCAATCATACTCTTGACCTTCAGCCTTCACGGTCACTTCACTGTGGACAAAATTGGCTCTAAAAATTCATGTTGTAACAGTTCTGTTGTCCTCAAGCTCCAAAATGCCAACGAAAGGAATATAATTTGAGCAAACCCTCTGGTACTAGAAAAAACAGTACATGGAGTTTCTAATTCATCTTCTACAAAGATTCTTTAAATAAAAGTGAATGTCTATGATACTATTAAGTAATAACTTTTCCTCCACTGGGAGTTAAAGATTTATAAATCATCCAAGTTTCTATGCAGTGAATCTAGTTTCTTCATCACAAAAATCACATGGCTCACTTTTCGTTTTAAATAACTTACCTTTCTTTACACAGAGATCTAGAACGACCAAGTAATAATCCTTCCAATTCTCACGTCTTCCCCTCATAGCACACATTCAATCTTAAGTGCACTGGCATCCATCTTTCCTGCTTGCATCCTGTTCCAATGGAAAAGGGAGTTTTCTTCTCGCCTAGGCCAAAGCCTTACAGGTCATTCATTTCAGCACACAAAATTGCTCAAATTTCTCCCACTGAAACAAAAGGCACCCCTCTCTTGACAACCCCATCTAGCTAGAGCGTTCTCTGTCATTGCTTTATCTCTTTATTTCTCAAGAAGGCACTGAGGCTTAAACATTAAACACTTCTTATCTTCATTTTCTCAACCATTCACTTCTCAATCCAATGGATTCTAGGTTCTGCTGTACCATTCCACTGGAACTATTTGCAATAGTGTCATCAAGGGCCTCCCATTTACTCGATCCAGTGGCCACTTCTCAGTGCTTATCTTACTTGAACTCTCTGTAACATTTGACACTACTGGTCACATCCTCTTCGAAACTGTGCCTTCCCTCAGCTTCTAATGGCCTCTCTCTTGGCCTTCCTCCCACCTCTCTGAACACTCCTACTCAGTCTCCTTCAAAGAACCACATCCTCCAATCATCCCATATCAATCAGTGACCCCAGAGTTCCATCTTTGGCCCTGTTCTCTTCTCCTTCCATTGCATACCTAGAAGTCCAACTTCTGAACAGAGAAATGGGAACCAGCTAGTGACAAAAAGTTCCCCAAAAAAGAATTACAAATGCCTCTGAAAGTTACAAAAAGATGCTCAGTCTCAGAGAAATGCAAATTAAAATGACAACTAGACATTTTTTAATCTACAGATTGAGAAAGATCATATTGCTTGATATCATACTATCATGAGGATTGAAGAAACAGGCATTGCTGGTAAAACCTCTATGGAAGATAATTTGGCGATATCTATCAACACTTTAAGTGTACATATCCTTTAATTCAGCAATCCCACTTGTAGTAATTTAAACCTATAGATATGCTTGTTTGTATGTGTACAAAATGATGCACGAACAAGGATATTCACTAAACAATTTGTAATAGCCAAAGACAGGAAATATGTTTCTATTAATTGGGGACTAGCTAAGTAAATAAATAAGGCAGCTCTACAGTATTGACAAGGAATATCTCCAAGATACATTGTTAAATGATAAAAACAAGGTATTGATAACTGTGCATAGTAGCTAACCTTTTTTATTTTATCTAATATTTTATTTTGTCCAGAGCTTAAGTCAAAATACATTTAACATTTTTAACAAGAATATAAATGTAGCTTATGCATATACACAGATATCAGAAAGTGTATAAGAAGTGATAAGAGCTGAGGGACCGAGAAAAGAGGCTTAATTTTCATTATATATACGTTTATACCTTTTGAATTTTATAAGATATGCATTACAACCAAGTGACTTTATGATCACTCGACCTTCCTTCATTCTCTACATTCAGGCAGTTGGTCAGTCCTATGAATTCTCTTTACAGCATCACTGCCATTTTGGACCTCCTTTCCAATCTCACTATAACCGATATAATTTAGAGACCCTCAGTATCCTCCTCTGAAATAATTAAACAGCCTTTAACCTTTCCACTTTAAATAATTATCTTCTCTGATTCACCTTATGTATACACCATGCCCGGACTTACCCTTCTAAAGCACAACTTATTAAGCTTCAAAAGGCCCGGATTCCACTGTGCAAAGTGCTCTGCACAGGCCCAAGCCCCTTCTGTCCCAAGGACTAGACTCCACACTCCAGCTGAATGGTACTGCCCCCAAGAACTAGAATTCCAGCTGTTTTTTGGACCCAATTCATAAGCCTAAATGCTGGTGGTTTCCTCCATCAGGAATGCTCCATGTCACGTACGTCTCCCTTCCCCACATGTACTAGCTAAAATGATGTGTGGCCTTCAGAACCCTCTGTTTTACAGGCCACCTACCTCAGGAAACTTTCCCTAATGTTCATTCAGGATGTGACTGTGGAACTCCGTGTTTCTTTTAGGGCGGCCTTTACATTCCCACTAGGCATCCATGTCAGTGGTAAGCCTCTCCCTCGGAGCTGCCTCTCCTGTTCTGTTCCTTAGTCTCCTGGTTACACTGATGTACTCACAGCAATAAAGACCAAGTCAGTTGGTGAGAGTAACACTTCTCTTCAAAGTCCCAAAATTCCTATTGTTCATTAAATGACTAAAAGGCCATCTTGAATCCATAAGTTTAGATGTGCTCATTTTTGCACAGTTGCCCAGTGTTCACAATGATATTATACTGATAAGTTGAGGTATTAAAAATATTAAATAACTGTTCCTGATTCTTTTTGTCTTTCTCAATGGAGACTGGTAAAAAGTTTGGAATACAAAGCACATGAAAATACAGATGCAAGGAAGCCAATTTCACTACCTGTCACTTAAAAGTAATTTTCTAGAGTTATTGTTTTTTCAAATGAGAGAGATGATCTTTCTCAGAGTGAACACATAAGGTTAGTGATGGCTAGGAGCAATGACTAAACCAGGTGGTTTCAGGTCCTTAACAAGAAGTATCTACCATTTCCCAGTATAAGGCAATTACCCACTTAGTTAGGTCAAGGTCATTTTAAAAGAGGTGATCCCTGTAGACACATAGACATCAGTATTACATATTGGTTTGGAAAATGACTAGGGAATTATATGAAATGAAAAACTTCATCATCAAAGTCATACAGACAGAAAGTAGAATAGTGGTTACCAGGGGCTAGAAGGAGGGGAGAATGAAAAATCATTGTTCAGTGGGTACAGAGTTTGGGAAAATAAAAAAGTTCTAGAGAATGGATAGTGGTGATGGTTAAACAACAACATAAATGTACTAATGCCACTGAACTGTACACTTAAAAATAGTTAAAACTGTAAATTTTATTATATATATATTTTTTACCACAATTTAAAAAATCCATCATAAAACATGACTTTTATTTATTTTTAAAGATTTTACTTTCCATTTTTCTCCCAAAGGCCCCCAGGACACAGTTGTGTATTTTTAGTTGTGGGTCCTTCTAGTTGCGGCATGTGGCACACCACCTCAGCATGGTTGACGCACCCAGGATTCGAACCAGCGAAACCCTGGGCTGCCAAAGCAGAGTGCTTAAACTTAACCACTCGGCCAGGGGCCAGCCCCCCAAAAAACATGACTTTTAAACATTTGCTTTATTTTTAAAACAGTAAAAGATGCAACTACCAGTTTTCTTTTTTCTTTCTTTTTCTGCTGAGGAAGACTGGCCCTCAGCTAACATCTGTTGCCCATCTTCCTCTTTTTGTTTGAGGAAGACTGTCACTGAGCTAACGTCTGTGCCAATCTTCCTCTATTTTGCATGTGAGATGTCTCCACAGCATGGCTTGATGAGCAGTGTGTATGGCCACGCCTGGGATCCAAACCCATGAACCCTGGGCCACCAAAGTGGAGCATGCGAACTTAACCACTATGCCATGGGACAGCCCCAGAATCTTTTTATTTCTAATTTCAAGACTTGAATAAGACAACAGAAACAAAACATCAACAGTTTAAATCTGATGGCTCTAATATATTAATTATTAAAGTTTACCCTGATTTAATTCTTTTTTTTTAATCTTACCTTCACTTGGAAAGAACTAATATGCTATTAAAGTTTAATCTGGTAATTCACCTTTTTTTTAATCCTACTCTTCACTTGAAAAGCTTTTAGCCTCCAAGACTGATCCATGCTATGTAGTCATAAGGCAACTGTTGCATAAATACCTGCAGACAATTGTTAGTCACGCAAAGGAAACCACAGAAGGCTTGAATGCAAAGCGACCCCAACTCTTATTCCCTGATGAGTCCTCCCTCAAACTAAAGTCCAAGATGGCTCCAGCCCACTAATATAATGCAGTTAAAATAATACAAATAAAAAATAAAGAATAGAAAGAAAATGCAATGATAATACTAAATCATACAATGTCACCAAGGACATAAGAGCTGCTTCCTCTACATTTCAAGTAAACCATAAAACACACCTATTACAATGAACTGTACACATGGTACTGCTTTTAGAAAGCCTCTTCAGCTTCACTACGTTTAATGGGATAGTATTCAACGGTAATACTTTTAAAAGTTGGGAACTAATAAAATCACATCTTCTAGATCTGTGCTGTCTAATACAGTAGATACTAGTCACATGGCTACTTAAATTCAAATTTAAATTAAAGTCAAAAATTAAGTTCCTCAGTTGCACTAGCCACATTTCAAGTGCTCAAGAGCCACATATGGGTAGTGGCTGTCATGATGGACAGTGCAAATGTAAAACACTTTCATCATCACAGAAAGCTCATTGGACAGAGCTGCTCTAGATCCCAAGTGCCTTTTTCTGAAGCAATCACAGTATTTTCATTCATTCGTTCAACAAATGTTTGCTGGGTTCCTGCTATGTGACAGGCACTGGCTAGTTGCCAGGCATGGCAACAAGTGAAACTATCAGTTTGAGTAAAGAGAGAAATAGAAACCTAAAAAATAGGAGTAGAGACCTTATTTTTAGATAAAGAAGAATGGCCAGGGAAGGCCTGTCTGAGGAAGTAAAGTTTAAGCCAAGATAAGAAAGATAAGCCATTCAAAAAAGACAGAAACAGTCTCCAAATAAAGAGAACTAAAATACCAAAGCGCTCAGGTGGGAGGGGCTTTGAATGTGCTAGAAACTGATCTTAGTGCATTTTGCAGCTGTCTCATTAAACTTGAAACACCAAGCAAAGCATTTAACTGACACTCAAATCTATTCCAAAGGGGAAGCTAGACAACAGTCCATATATTATCCCAGGCAGTTCTCCTTGTCCCTCTAAATCATTTGCCTTTTTGTCATTTCATTTCTTGAAGCACCAACTTCCGAGTGGGCAGGTACAGAAAGAGCAATTAATTTTGTTACTTCTTAGCAGACGAAAACTGGGCTTAAACAAGGTTTCTGAATTACTGTGAATTTTAACTACCTGTGTTCTTCCATGCTGCTATTAACATGGGTAATTGAGATATTTTCATCACAAGTTGAGCAGTTTCCATTTGAGGGCAGGTTATCATATTCCTGCCAAGGGCAAACAACTCACTCACAGACTTTGAGCAGCAATATACAGCAAACTGGGTGGACATCCTTTTCCCAGGAAATGCAGTTGGCTACCGTGCAGCGGACTCCACCACACTGTCACTGCCCCACAGACAGCTCACAGGTGGGAGACTGAAAACACTCCCAGCCTTCAAGACAGGGCTGAGGGGAAACTCCAAACGGAGAACTCCCTCAGTGCCTCTACAGCTCAGAGGCTTGCCTTTGTGAGCAGCTCCCTCATCCCATTTGCATGCACCTTGTCTTTTCGTCTTCTTCACACTGCCTTTTCACTCAAGTTGCTTTCTAATAGCAGGTCTCTCTGGCTGTGTTCCTTACAGCCAGGTTCCCTTTCAAGGAGCTACATAAAGCATCCGCAGGAAGTACCCCAAGACCTCTGAACAGAGCTGAGGCAGGAGGGCCGACAGCTAGTACTAGAGTCATTTGTCCTCTGGCACACAAGGCCTCCTAAGGATGGATGGAGAACACCATCTATCTTCCTCCATGCTGTGTGAGCCAAAGAATCTAGGCAATTCCCTTCCAAGTCCACTTATTTCAGAGACAGAAAAACAGAACCTCCATTGCTGGAAAGAACCTAACTGTTTGGTATCAGGGAAAAAAAGGTGCATTCTCATATCAAATTAACTAAGAATCAAATGTGGAAATATGCTTCTCACATCAGGTTTTGATTTTTTAGCCTTAATGAAGGAAAGCCCAATGCTAACTAAACAGAATAACCCAATGAGATAGAATAGTTATGGAAGATAACGTTAAGGAATATATTTTAAATCCATACATCTCACCATATCCATTGGGTAGAGACATTTCTGCCTAAACATACTTCAGTAATTAAAATTAACCTTCTTTCAAATAAAATATGCCATTACCATTATCATTTTAAGTAAAAGACCCTGTAAAAACACTTCATTTTACTATATTTTGAAGAAAACATATGCTTCTAATATTAGAATATCATGGGTGAAAAAGCTCTCGGGTCCCTTTTATAAGCACACTAATCCCATTCGTGAGGGCTCTACCCTCATGACCTAATCACCTCCCAAAGGCCCCATCTCCTAACTCTATCACATTGGGAGTTAGGATCTCAACATGTGAATTTCGCAGGAGGAGGGGACCACAAACACTCATTTCATGGCACAGAGTAATGAGAATACATTCTTAATCTTTACAAGGTCCCTAGGGGTAAAGAGAGCACAGATCATTTCAGTTCCATTTTAGACTGAACATAGTTAACTAGGAAAAGGTAATCTGGGCACGGGACACACAAACTGGGGCAAAGCCCAGCTACCTCTGACATTCCAATGCCATATGTACAGTACTTTGTCCATTTCAGGGTCATACTGTAATAGATGAAAAATGCCAGCAATCGATGGCTGCTTTATTTGAAGTTATAATTTAGATTAATTACAGATAAAGTCTAACTTTAAGGAGAAAACATTTTAAAAGAATAGGGTTCTAGTCCAAACAGAGCAGGATATAAGAAACCAACTCACATGGAACCACTGTATTCACACTTCCCTCATTTATTACGTAGATATTCACAATGGGCTGGGCACAACAATATTTCTTAAAATGATGGGTCTAAGGGTGAAAATTAACAATGGGATGTCAAGATTTTATTGAAAAAATATTTAAATAATGCTGAGCAAGGAAAAAAATCAACGTTCTTCCATATTATGAATAAATTACAATACATATAGATTCAACAAAAAGCAAAAGTCCACAAATATTTTTCAAATCTTAAATATATTCACTTCTAAACATGGCATTTCTGATAATATGCTATTACATAAAAACAAATTTTAGCTTTGATATTGCCATCACCTTTTATAACCAACAGAGATTATTTGAGAAATGATCTGACTTTAAGAACAAACGTATATAAAGCATTTGCAAGTTGGCATTCCTTAACTTTAAGAAGTTTTATTGCATTTTTTTTGCTTCTGAGCTTGTACCTTTCTAGTAAATAAAAAGATTTTTGTTGTTCTAACAAAAAAAATAAAAGTATCTACAACCACCCATTTGGAATTGGTATCCATTTTCTTTTCCTCAAGACTTTAATTGAAAAGTACAGTCCTTCCAAAACCTCTTGGGTCAATTCAGTTTGTTTTAAAAGCAAACCATTTTGCATTTCTAAGCTGCCACTTTTTTAATGTTTTGGTTTCTTTTAAGTCTTTCAAAAAGTCAAATATCCACCTGTGACAGGTACCAATTAATCTGAAGAAAATATTGTGAACCAGCCCATCTACAAATGTAAAAAGCTTTGAGTAACATTAAATGAAACCCATTACCTGTGTGTTTGTCCTGCTCTGCAGTCACCATTTAATCAATGAATAACAGAAAGGTGAAGTTAATTACAGAGTACCTTCCGTATGAATTAGGCTTAAACATCATAAGAGGATAAATAATTTCTCCTTACCCTTGTATTCTGAGGTTGACTCAGGAGTACAGTCTGGCTGCACTTGAGAAGCACAGGTAGATTTTATTTGAAAGTACAACAGTAACAGGTATTTGTTCCTGTGCTGCCTGATTCATAGACACAGAAACAGACAGGCAGAGAGATCCTTCCAGGTTCCCCTAACCCCATGGGGAGTGACTGGACAAGGGGACATCTCCTCCTCCTGATCAGGAATACCTTCTGCTCCACCAGCCAGTCACTCCCACTACATTGGGCCTGCTTGCCCTGCTTTAAATCTCCTAAAAAGACCCTATTTTGTTTCTTGTGAGTCTTTAATATTTGTGCACACAGGCCCATGCTTA